AAAAAAAGGATTTTTCACGTCTCTTCCTACAACTGTCTCATTTTCTATGATCATACTCGTACTAGCCTACTCTATACACAGGATATTCACAAAAATGAATATTCTGCAATCGATGTTGATATCTCGGACCCTCGAATCTGGAACAGTTCTTTTAATTTAGTTAAGTTAATTTTTCAATGTACTTTGTATAACGCGCCTAACATGCTGAAGAAATTTCTGAAAAATTGCTCCAATTGTTTTTCATTAACATTTTTGCTGGAATATAGCAAATAAAGCTTATCAAAATGGTCTGATAAGGGAAGGAGTGATTTGCTTAAAACCTCTGTATTTCGAAATTGACAAAAGTTTAAAATTGGACACAAGCCTATGAAAGAAAAGATTTGTTTTTCCAAATTTTGACTTTGGAGAGGAAAACATAATTATTAAAATAAAAAATGTGGTCTTCAAAATGTATTAAACTTGTTAGTTAATTTATGTTCTTATTTATGTTAAAGATTCCCCCCCAAAAGGTTCATTTTTTATCATTTTTACGCGTATATACGTAATGATATATTTCTTCTTCACCGCAAATAATTCAACTTTATTTTCTTATATACGTTTTTAGGCAGCGAGATCTAATGAAAAACAATTATGTAACTCTATTTACAATTTGAATGAATGATGTTCCAAAAGAATGGGTAAAAATGCCAAAGACATGAACAACTATTGTCACAAACAATGTAATTGAAAACTTTATTATAATTTCAGAAATTGTCATAAAACAACCATAGGCGTGCGCAACCAAAAAAACAAGAATGGACAACTACATTTCCCTGCTAGATTTTCCATTTAAATATTTTATATTTTGGTAAGACGTATTTTACTACTAAATAAAACTACTGCTAAAAGTGGTTTTATGTTGAATTATTTATAAGATTCACTGACCTGGAGAACCCCAAATGTGTAACAAATTACTTAAGTTACGGAATTACTTAAGAAACGTTATTGTAATTAATTATTCTATATTTATTATAAATCTCAAAATATTTTTACTCATGCATAAAATAATAATAGTGATCGTTAATAGCTTTGGTCTTTTCTAAAGCGACTAAAATAATATTCAAAAATTCAAAATTCAGAAAAATCCCTCAGGCAATAAGGAGGAAAATAAGGAACAAACATATTTAGAGAAATTAAATATGTAATCAGTTATGGCAACGGTGTCCCTTTGAAGACATTCAGGGGGCCCACGGCATCAGTCAACGCACGCCTATTAACATAATCATTGTATTCACCGTGAGTACACAGGAAAACTTTCTTACTTATAGACCTGTCTGGCCTTGAGCGAACGGAGATTTCGTGTTGGTGTTCAGATAGTAAGTTCCAGATATACTGAAACAGAAAAAGAAGCAATTCATTTCTCAAGATATTCCTAAGTTTTGTAAATTTTGTATGTAAGTTATGAGAATTAAATCCTTGATTTCTTAATTTCTTGCTAAACACGCTACGCTGACAGTGGCAATATACAACAGAAAAATTGCAGAATTATGTGAATCTATATATTTTAAACACGAAGGTTTTCGTTTAGAAAATTGTTTGAGCAACTATTCAAACAAATTTTGTGGTTTTATCTTTATATAAAAGGTAGTGAGCCCTACGTGTGCTCCCATTTCGCCTTCTTAACCGATTCCATAGCGTAACAGGAAATATTAATATTTTAAAATTAATGCAATGGCCGCTTGATTGTCATGATTTGTCCATTACTTAGTCTTGTTCGATACGAGTACATCAATCGTAGGCATTTCGTTACTAGGCGCGTTCAAGCGTTTGGGTGTGGATGCAAGGTCGTAGTTAGCGAAGAGAAGATAGATATTTTAGGTGCGAGGTTCATTGAACGTTTTGAAACGCGAAAGTCAGTGAATATATTAAATCTTCATATGCTGAGAGCCATCCACTAGTGTAAATTACTTTGGAAAGAAAGTAAATTGCGAGTAGCAATAACTTAACATTAAATTGACAAAAAAAACAAACAAAGAAATTACAGTTCGTAATGTAGAAATACAATGAACAATCTTTTCTGTTCATTAGCATGCAACAAAAATTGTAAGCAGTTCTAAATAAGTGACTTACCCACGTGGTGTCCATTCTCCCATGACAGCGTGTTCATTGGAGCTGCATTTCCCTTGGGAATAATCTTCGTAACTGGAGCAGCGCGTTGCAACGAAGTCTTTTGAAATTATGGATTCGATGTAATACGTAGGTGCACGGTTATGGCTGCATCCTACAGCAAACAACAAGGTAAATGCATGTGCTGAGCAATTAACTCTACAGTAAAAACCATGTCCCCTCTCTTCGGGAGAAGAAAATGCCGCTCGTACCGTCTACATCCGTCCGCGCCCCGCAGCCAGACTGAAGCGAACCGCCGTTCGGGAAGAAGTCGGCGTGGCCTTTGCTCTCGAGCAGCCCCGCGCCCCCTCCGTTCGTGTGAATCACCTGGACGAACTGGGCGTCGGAAATGTCCAGCTGGTCCTCCAAAGGATTGGCGTCGTACAGGCCGTTGGAAGGGTCTAGGGCTGCAAGACAACATATGTTCCTTTCAGTTGAAATATTACTTCTATACATATAATTGATACACTTAACCCTAATTTTAACTTGAATTAAGAAAGTTAAACTATATTTTCGGAAATATGTTATAATTTGGTTTAATAAATTTATGAAAAATTATAATATAATTACACATAATATAACTATATTTACAGTAATACATATATAATATAAATATATTATAAATTTATTATAATAATTATAATTATATTTAAATCGTTTGATTTTATTCATATTATCTTAAAAATGTACAAGTTACAGCTAGATACAGAATATTATAAACGCATAAATTCCCATTTATTTTTAAACCAAAATACCTCACGCTCACCTTAGTTTAGCCAGTACCCTTTGTCTAGTACTAAAATTAGGCGGAATAAGTATGAAATAGTACGTTCAATGTCATTCACACATTTATCAACATCTAGCTGTGGCGAATGAATAGGCTATTCCTAGCATTTGCGTATTCCAGGCTTTAGACATTACAAACTATATAATCTTTATATTACTCTTTTAAGTTGATCTTCATTTCCTAGCTGCCAATTCATTATTACACTCAAATTGCATTTGTAAGTCTATTACCACAGAATGGTTTTTCCCTCTCAGTGATCTACGAGTCATATTCGTGTGGTTACTGCACCCACCTACGACTTCGGCGGGCGCGCCGCCGCCCACGCGGTTGCCGACGACGCCGGCCATCTGGCCGCCCGTGCTGTGGCCCACGATGACGAGGTCGTCCGGACTGAGGCCGCGCGCCTGCACCAGGCGGTTGAGCACGCGCCCCACGTAGTCGCCCACCAGCACGGAGCTGCGCGCGGCCGCCTCCAGGTCGGCGCTGGCCGGGCCCGACCAGTCCACTAGGACCACGTTGTACGCCTCCCCGGTGGCCAAGTACGCTGCGCACACGGCACACGGCTTTTGGTCTAGCCGGCTCCCCGTGGAATGGGGTCGAACTAAGTCGCATTGGGCGGTATTGGTCGGAATAGCGAAGGATTGGGCGAAAACTGGGTGCATTTGGTTGGAATTGGGCGAAACTGGGCGTAACGGAACAGAATGGGGCAGAACTGGTTAGAATTGGGAAACAGCGGAATTGGTCAACCTGGACGGAATTGGGCATATCCAGGCAGAATTGGGTAGAAAAGGGGAGACGTTGGCGGAATTAGGCGTAACTGAGCGATATCGAGCGGAATGAAGCTGAGTTAAGCGGAATGAAACGGAAGTGAATTACGCGTATTGACGCGGAATGACGAGGAATAAAACGGAATGACGCGGAATGAAGCAGAATAACGCGGAATGACGCAGAATGAAGCGGAAAGACGCGGAATGAAGCGGAATGAGGCGGAATGACGCGGAATGATGCGGAATGATGCGGAATAATGCGGAATGAAGCGGAACGACGCAGAACGACGCGGAATGAAGCGGAATGAAGCGGAATGACGCGGAATGACGTGGAATGAAGCGGAATTAACCGGAATGACGCGGAATGAAGCGGAACGACGCGGAATGAAGCGGAACGACGCGGAATGAAAAGGAATGATGCGGAATGAAGCGGAACGAAACGGAACGACGCGGAATGAAGCGGAATGACGCGGAATGAAGCGGAACGAAACGGAACGACGTGGAATGAAGCGGAGAAAAGCGGAATGACGCGGAATGAAGCGGATTGACGCGGAATGAAGCGGAATGAAGCGGAATGACGCGGAATGACGTGGAATGACGCGGAATGACGGTGAATGAAGCGGAATGAAGCGGAACGAAACGGAACGACGCGGAATGAAGGGGAAAAAGCGGAATGAGACGGAATGACGCGGAATGATGCGGAATAAAGCGGAATGAAGGGGAACGACGCAGAACGACGCGAAACGACGCGGAATGAAGCGGAATGACGCGAAATGACGTGAAATGAAGCGGAATTAACCGGAATGACGCGGAAGGAAGCGGAACGAAGTGGAACGGAGCGCTACGAAGCGGAATGAAGCGAAAAAAGCAGAATAACGCGGAATGACGCGGAATGAAGCGGAACGAAACGGAACGACGCGGAATGACGCGGAATGAAACGAAATGAAGCGGAATGACGCGGAACGAAAGGGAACGACGCGGAATGAAGCGGAGAAAAGCGGAATGACGCGGAACGACGCGGAATTAAGCGAAATAAAGCGGAATAAAGCGGAACGAAACGGAACGACGCGGAATGAAGCGGGAAAAAACGGAATGACGCGGAATGACGGTGAATGAGGCGGAATGAAGCGGAACGAAACGGAACGACGTGGAATGAATGGGAAAAAAGCGGAATGAGGCGGAATGATGCGGAATAAAGCGGAATGAAGGGGAACGACGCAGAACGACGCGGAACGACGCGGAATGAAGCGGAATGACGTGGAATGACGCGGAATGAAACGGAATGAAGCGGAACGAAGCGGAACGAAGCGGAATGAAGCGGAATGAAGCGAAATAACGCGGAATGACGCGGAATGAAGCGGAACGAAACGGAACGACGCGGAATGACGCGGAATGAAACGCAATGAAGCGGAATGACGCGGAGCGAAAGGGAACGACGCGGAATGAAGCGGAGAAAAGCGGAATGAAGCGGAATGACGCGGAATGACGCGGAATTAACCCGAATGACGTGGAATGACGCGGAATGAAGCGGAACGAAGCGGAATGAAGCGAAAAAAAGCGGAATAACGCGGAATGACGGGGAATGAAGCGGAACGAAACGGAACGACGCGGAATGAAACGGAATGAAGCGGAATGACGCGGAACGAAAGGGAACGACGCGGAATGAAGCGGAGAAAAGCGAAATGAAGCGGAATGACGCGGAATGACGCGGAATGAAGCGGAATGAAGTGGAATGAAGCGGAACAACGCGAAAGGAAGCGGAAGGACGCGGAAAGACGCGGAATGAAGGGGAATGAAGTGGAATGAAGCGGAATGACACGGAATGAAGCAGAATGACGCGGAATGAAGCGGAATGAAGCGGAAAGACGCGGAACGCCGTGGAATGAAGCGGAATGAAGCTGAATGACGCCGAATGAAGTGGAATGACGCGGAATGAAGCGGAATGACGCGGAATGATGCGGAATAAAGCGGAATGAAGCGGAACGACGCGGAACGAAGCGGAATAAAGCGGAATGACGCGGAATGAAGCAGATTGACGCGGAAATAGCGAAATGACGCGGAATGACGCGGAATGACGGTGAATGAGGCGGAATGAAGCGGAACGGAACGGAACGACGCGGAATGAATGGGAAAAAAGCAGAATGAGGCGGAATGATGCGGAATAAAGCGGAATGAAGCGGAATGAAGGGGAACGACGCGAAATGAAGCGGAATGACGCGGAATGAAGCGGAATTAACCGGAATGACGCGGAATGAAGCGGAACGATGCAGAACGAAGCGGTACGAAGCGGAATGAAGCGGAAAAAAGCGGAAAAAAGCGGAATAACGCGGAATAAAGCGGAATGACGCGGAATGAAGCGGAACGACACGGAACGACGCGGAATGACGCGGAATAAAAAACGGAATGAAGCGGAATGACGCGGAACGAAAGGGAACGACGCGGAATGAAGCGGAGAAAAGCGGAATGAC